GCCTATCTCTCCCTCGCGTCCCATGCGCGCTAGCGATTCCGACATCCTCATCCTCGACCGGCTATTCATCCAGAACTGCCCCTCATCTCCTTCCATGGAGACCATCGCGTTCGATGAACCCGAGTGTCCACCACACCAGACTTTCACCGCCTACAAGGCCCCTCTCTTTGCTGTCACGCCGATCCCGGCCTCTGCGAGCTTCCGCGCCACCGTCGAGTTCGCCTCGGCGGGCGGCTACCTTACCCCACCAGCTTCGTCGCTCTGGTTCTGACTTCTTCGGTCGTCGTTACTTGTTCTTCGCCCAATATCTCTCGCACATCGCATCGCTATCCATCGCTTTTGTTCCATCGTTTTCGCGCTTTCTCGTTCGCTATCGACTCGCTTTCGTACTTTACTCTTGGGTTTTACGCCATCTGTTTCACTCCTCGTTTCATCCACTCGCATCAATTTATACGCTATCTCTTTCATACGTTTATACACGCTACGTCATTGCATACAGTCTCAGTCATGATTCAGCTTCGGTCACATCTCGCATACCTATCTCTACTATACGTGCCCACTTTCTCGGTTTCCTACGTACTTCAATGCGCTGTTCTATCCTGTGCCTTCATCTCTTTAAGTTCAGTTCCTAGAAGGCACATCGACGTTTGCCTTGACGGGCCTCAGCACCACGAGCCTGGTCTTCTTGACTTCCTCCGGTTGCGGGAAGTAGCGCACAGTCTCGAAGCACCATATCTGTTCAGTCGGGTCAGTAAACTGGGTGTGCTATCGTGCGGACCATTAACCACTCACAGCGTTGCCGATCGACCAGTTCTCTATCCCATCAATAAAGCGGGAGACATCTGTGTCTATCTGTGCATCGCCAAACGAGTGCACGCGTAAGTCTTCTTTGGCGGATAAGTACGTGCGCATGAGCTCTTCGTACGCCCTGCCAGCGTATGTGCTAGCTTCCTGCAGCTTGAAGCCGTGGGCCTGCATGAGCACGGTGAGGATGTTGCAGCCTGCATGGCCCTTCCCCTGTTCCATGTCGTACGAGTAGATGTCCTGCACACACATTCATCTTTACTCGGCATCTTGGAAGGAGGATGACAGATGACATGCTTACGTTTGCCCACCACGTCATATCGACAGCGGCCCAGTAAAGCCTTTTGAACGTATCGTTCTCGGACACCTCGTCGGGCAGGTCGATGCCCAACGCATACTCGTACAGGGTGAAGCAGGCCCGAACCGCGCTGTTTCCCCTGCGCAAGTCGCGGTAACCGAGAGGGTCAAGCACGGTCTGCGTCTCGCGCAGCTCAGCCTCACGTGCGAAGCAGGCGACATAGTCCACGCAGTGCTGCAAGAAGCGCGAGAAGGAACGAGGACTACAGGTGCGCACGAGACGCGCTCGGAACCTGTAAAGTTGCTCAGTATATGACGCCTCAGGTGTAGAAGTAGAGCGAAGACACACTCTTTCGTCATGCGCGAAATGTCAGAGCTGTCATCCCATTCGAGTTCGCGCAATGCCTTGACGAAGACGTCGCCGGTCTTGCGGGCATCTACCCCACTTTGCTTATCGCTGACCTCGTCGAGCTACTGCAAGTGAGCATCATCTCACCCGATCGATACGACGACACGCTCACCACAAACAGCATATTGATGAAGTCGCATACAGTTCTGAACTCCTCGAACGGAACCTTGGGGTACGTGTTCGCAACAAGGAGCTCGAAGCACGCCAATCCAAAGGTCGCTCGCTCCTGGTCGTCGAAGATGTGCATGTACTGGGCCAGCCAAGTACGACTCTCGGCTGATGCACGCACATAGTGCGGGTTCTTCGAGCTCTCGAAGGGCGCAGAAAGGGAGAGGAGATCCGGGAGATAGAAGGAGCGTTCGATAGAACTCGAGTCGCTGTTGGTGGACATTGCTGGCTTGAGATATTTGTCCTGTTTCCAGAGCGTGTCGGAGGAGAGACTATGTTGATATGATGTCGCAGTTTGCAGAGGTACTTATAGGTCTTAGACACAGGGAGAAACATGGAATTGCCTATTCTTGATAACATGAGCCGTATGAAGGCCGACAACCCAATGTTCATGAGGAACTGATTCATACAAAAGGCAATCGGAATCATAATATCTCCGGATGACTCCTGGACAACAGTCGTCAATTTCGTGCCTGTGAGCCACATGAAGATAGCGCAAGATGCGAACCTTTAGAGGAAAGCCTGAACCACGAAATCGGTTGGCGTAGATCGTTGGCACTCCGGACCAGGTCACACTTTGCAAATCATGTAGGATGCAAGGGGAGAAGCAGTGACATGGGGGCATATCGGAACGGTGATATTGCTACGTGAGAGTGAGAGAGAGAAACTTTGGCAAATACATAGCCCAGTATAGCTTTCACTGCCCCTCGAAAGCTCTCAATGGAATGTCAGAGGTCTAATGACACGATCGTCACCCATTACGAAGCATCGGCGCCACAGGTACATAGTACCACAAGCTATTATTCCGGGCCAGTGATTGTTGCGGACATGCCACATGAACAAGAAGCTGTCAATGAAACACCACTGAGCCTATGCGGAAGCGATAAAGAGCATAGGTGCTAGGGATATAGGCTCGTCAAAGACCGCATCGAGAGGTACCAGCTTGGTACACAACTGGCCAGTGATGAGATGTTCTCAGTCGCTCGAGTTGGACCGTCTCGCGTTCCTACGAGTACAAGATCGCAGACTGGCGGCTCCTGCGCCGCGGCTGGCATGATGAGCATTTCACTGCTACGCCAGGACGCAGAGCTGGCTAGAGCTGATGTATGACAAAGGCTTCCCAGGTGTGTGGGGTAGGGGATAGCAGGCTCAAGCGCCCATGGGAGAAGGAGCGAAGACTGCGAAGATGCGAAACCGTCAAGGTGGCAACGTCCACGTGGGCAAACGTGGGCACAGTCGCCTCGGCACACAGCGTCCGGTTTTCAAGTAGCGCCGGACCACCATCTCCTAGTAGTACACCCAGAGTGGTGGTGCATACACTATCTTGACCCTCTCATCTCTACCTCAGCCATGCGGACGTGCGATAGCCTTAGAAGGGCCTTGCCTGATCAGGAAGATATGAATGGGGGTTGAGAATGTACTTGCCAAGTGCCAACTTCTTACATCTTGAGTCTGTCTAGTACGTAGACTCTGACAAGCACTGTACTTACATGTGAACGCAGATTCTTGGACAGCCTAAGCTCTCTGGTCGGCAACTGAGGCGTGTCTTTCTCTAGCCTGTGGGACGCTTTACCATATCCACCTACCACTACACGCGCGGTCCAGTCAACCTGTATATACGAGGACGTCTACCGGAACCCCGCTGATGCCCGTCATTGAACTCACAGAGCCTGAAGCTCCCTGGCCAGTCGTGCTTGCACCCGCGCCTACGGCACCTATCTCTCCCTCGCGCACCCCATTCATCATCCTCGACCGGCTCTTCGCCTCAGGCACCCGTCGTCTCCTTTGGTCCTCGAGACCACCATCATCAACGAGCCTGAGCGTCCACCGCACCGGACTCTAGGCCTCTGCGAGCTTCCGCTCCACCGTCGAGTTCGCCTCGGCGGGCGACTATCTTGTTCCACCGGCCTCGCCGCCCTGGATCTGACTTCTCGAATGTCATGACCTGTTCTTCGTCGTGTCTTCCTCGTCCATTGCATCTCCATTTGTTCTTTGCCATCTTGCCATCGCGTTTTTTGCTCCGCTATTGCCTCGCTTTTGTTAGTACTTTGAGTTTTGCGCCATTTTTTTTCCATACCTAGCTCGACCAGTTTCGCCCCACCACACAGCCGTGTATGTTACCCTACCTCCTATCGCTTTGGTCACCCCTACGTCTCTCGCGTACAGCATCCCCACGTACTCTCAACTTCGGACATTGTTTCATCGTTGTCAGCAGATGCCGCCTTTGGGACTCGGTTACTTTACTCAGATATTTAGTCATATCTTTCATCTCTCGGCTCATCCAAGAGCGTTTGTGTGAGCCTTCGTCTTTGACTAGTATGCATTGACGCCCAAAGCGGCGAATGGATGAATGCATCTATATAGCATCTTCGTGTTCTGACGGAGCCTTAGCCCGTAATTTACTTGAGATGCGGGGGTTCAACCGAAGGCTACGATAACCGGAAAATATCTGAGTACTTGATAACTCTATGGGTCACGACCCTCACGGTCACGCCTACCTCAGTCCGAGCCTTCGGATGACTCGTCGCTGTCTCCGTACTCGTGTTGCATCCTGAGCTTTACGAGCCTCGTCCGCTTCACCTCATCTGGCTTGGGGAAGTACCGCACAGTCTCAAAGCTCCATATCTGTGATCGTCCATCAGCACCTCGCAAGGATTGAAGTGTCAAGGATCATCACTCACAACGTTGCCGATTGGCCAGTTCTCCATAGCTTCGGTATAGCGTGCGACGTCCGAATCGAGGTGTGTATCGCCGAATGTATGGGATTGCAAGCGCGCCTTGGCGTCCATGTAGGTTTGCATCATCTCCGCATAGATCTCACCGATGTGGGAACTGGCCTCTTGGAGATTCATGCCATAGGCCTGCATGAGCACGGTCACGATGTTGTTGCCCGTATGACCCTTTGACTGCTCCATATCGTACGAGTACACATCCTGGGTGTATCATCAGCTTGAGCCGAGAGTCCACGAGCGGGGTTCAGTGAAGATGGAACTTACGTTCGCCCAGCACACCATGTCTGCGGCGGCCCAGTACAGCGTCTTGAATGTATCATCTTCGAACACCTTATCAGGTAGGTCTATGCCGAGCGTATACTCGAACAGGCCAAAGCAGAGCCTGATTGCGCTGTTCTCGCGCCGTAAGTCGCGGAAGCTTTGGGGGTCAAGTACGGCGTTCGCCTCGCGCAACTCGGCCTCGCGTGCCACACACTCAACATAGTCCGCGCTGTGCTGCTGGAAGCGGGCAAAAGAGCGAGCGCCGCAGGTGCGTACGAGACGGGCGCGGAACCTGATGGGGAGACTATCAGACACTCTGGCAGCTTTGCAGATGGAATGAGAGGCGTACTCCTTGGTCATACGTGAGATTTCGGAGCCGTCGTCCCATTCATCGTCGCGCATCGCTTTCAGGTAGATGTACCCGGTGCGAGCATCAACGCCGCTCTGCTTGTCGCTAACCTCGTCCACCTACTCCAAACTATGAGTTACGATGAGCTATCTCCCGCTCCAAGATAGACATACCACAAAGAGCAGGTTCACAAAGTCGCAGACGGTTCTGAATTGTTCGAAGGGAGCATATGGATACGTGTGCGCAACGAGAAGCTCGTTGCACCCCATCGCAAATGCCGCGCGTTCTTGGTTACTGAAGATGTGAGAGTACTTCGCGACCCAGTCGCGGCTCTCCGCTGCTGCTTGTGCATAGTACGGGCTCGTCGAGCCGCTAAGGGCGGTCGAGAGAGATATGAGGTCTGGGAGATGGAAGGATTGAGTGGCAGGTCCAGAGGTGCGACTGCTCATGGCAATTTGAATATAAGATGAGGGTTGAGAGTAGCTGACGAAGAGGAGTTTGTTGCTATCGGCCTCCAGACGGTGTGAACATGCATTTATAGTGTCGCCTATCGTTGGGCGCGGCGGGAGTGAGCGACCCGTCCATATCCCCTAATCAGTGATGTGAAACTAACAAGAATATACATTGAAGACAACGAACTTGCGCGTTGGCGGAACAATGGTGTTACTCGAGACAACTAGAAGCAATCTTGATCAAGCGTACTGTGGCGCCTCTCCGCGCCCCGATTACGAGAAAGGTGTACAGAAAGGCACTCCTGGGATGCACAGATCCCGAGAAGTGAGACACACTCCAGCTGTCTCTGGGAATGAAGGTTGACCACGGGGATACTCGGAATATAACCTGTCCAGCGGGAGTCAGACCAGCGATACAGTTCCGTCGCCATTGAGTTATCGCGAAGATTCTTACCGGATCACTACGTTTCGCAGCCGTAATACAGTGGCGCCTGCGTCTCGCATCCTGCTCAATGGGGCTCTTTCGCTACTCACGAGTAGGCTCTACCCGAACTGACTTCGCAAAGGGGATGTGTGAGTCCTGCATGATAAGATAGAAGGTCCTATGAATATGGTGTAGAACGCGCGCCACTATTCGTTGCAATGGTCGAGCGGGAGGGGTACCGGTAGTGTTGAAGGAAAGTTCAATATTGCCATTTCCCATGTCGGGCGCTACAGCTTGTCGTACGGGCTAATGGTGTAGAATATTATCTCCCGATGCGACAAGCGGGTCCCGGCGAAAGTGTGTCATATTGAGCCAGGTGAGTGGGAGAAGACTCGAACTTGCAGAAGGACGCGTGAATGGCTATACTGGTACCGCCCAGCAAGTGCAAGAAGTTTTGTCTGTGGCAAGTAGAGGGGTTGAGCTCTTCGTCGTGGTCATGGTCGAAAGACGCACATGCGCCGTCGCTGTGGACGCACGGTGCACGCGCTCGCACGCGACGCCCACGCCGCTCCGGCCCGCCTCGAGCGATTGAAGTCAGAGCCGTTTGCCTCGAAACCACCAACTACCTTGATCCACCAGTTGCCAATCGATCGACACCCAACGTCTAACTGTCGACTTCTACAGCATGAACTCGCATTCTACTTGTACCGAGATGACATCGGACTCGGAGTTCCCCAGCATTCTTCCTTACAGGCGCAGGTGGGTGAGCGCGGGCGTCGTGAATGGCATACATAGATTGATTATCAGTCCCCCCAGCAATTATGATAGGACTCTGAGCGAGGATGAAAAGGACGTCCTCCATATCGAGGAGGCTGCGAGGCTGCGGCTTGAGGTGCGCGCCACGGATCACACGGCATCGCAGTCTGCACCGTCTACCAAGTCCGAGCCACTTGCAGCGCAAGGCGATCATGCTCCTCCTCTGAATGCTCGCCTCCAACACGTATGCGATTGTGATCAGGAGCAGAAGAATAACGATCTCCCCGTCATGCGCTTGGCTGTCGAGTTGATGCACATCATATTCTGGTACCATGCGGATGAAAACGCGATTAGTCGAGTTGTTCGGACGTCTGTGTTTGGAGATTACCGCACCATTCCTGTTGTCGAAGGAAGCTGGTTCGCACTAGGACAGGTATGCCGCAGGTGGCGGCGGATACTCTTCAATATGCCCGACCTATGGGCTGCGAAGGCCAGCGAGTTTGGCGCTCAAAAGGGACTGAACGTGCTCCCTCTCGCAAAGGAGATGTTGTTGGACATAGACTTCCGCAATGGGCTGGGTTTAGACGCAGGAACATGGCGTCAGTGGGAGCCACACATGAACCGCGCATGGAGAATCGCGAATCATCCTGTGAACATGGACCAATGCGTTGGTCTCATGAAGTTACTCGCTGGGGAACCGCTCCCTCACTTGCGATCTGTCGCGCTCGGACATCCACTCCCTAGTACGGGTCGCGGTGACATCGATGCCATGTCTGACCATCCGATGCTTCAACATATCAAGATGCATAACGTCTATATGCGCCCTCCGCTTCACGGTAAACTGGTATCTCTTGTGATCGATCTTTCCTACGTCGCACGCGGAGCCGAGCACAAACACCCGATCCTCCCATTATTAGCTGGAAATCCCCAATTATGTTCTCTCGATCTGCGTCACGTACCAGATCACACCGAAAGGTCGACAGAACGGATCGTTCTACCGGCCCTGAAACACCTGCGCCTGACGCACCAGTATCGACACCTTACTATTTCACTATTGGACAGCTTGCACCTCCCTGCCGTCGTCGAAGCTTCAGTAATCCCCTATGACGAATTGAACGTCTTGAGAGATGCCTTGTCTGTGTATTGCAGCCTCTTATCAGCTTGGACCCATCGTGCAGAGTCGTATACCGGCATACGCTCACAATCTCTCGTCTCGCGACGCGTGTACACGTCTGCGGATTCCCGTCGGCGTCACGATGCAATACTGAGCATCTGCCTAGAAGAGATCTCAGACGTGCAGACGCGGTACTCGATCGTGGCCACTGACTACGAGAAAGACCAGCCAGGAGGTCCGGAGTTTATCAGTAAACACACGATTCAGCAGTCGTGATACCACGCCGATGACATTGGAGGCCGATAGGGATGCTGGTCTCTGATCCCTTCGCTGGGAAGATGGCAAGGAAGGCTGTGGCTCATAGCATCGGTTTGGTTACAAGATCGTGTATCCGTGATGTAATCAACAGGACTGGCATGTAAACCGAGCCAATAAACAACTTTTTCATCGTGCAGGGAGTCTTTCCCGAACCCCTCGCGCAACGCTACTGATCTCGAAACATGTGAAGGTATGAAGTCCCACGCTTTGACAGAAGACTAGTAGCGTAGAAGGGTTCTTGACCTCGACGGAGGGTGCAAGTAGGTATCTTAAGGATATCGTCCCTGCAGGCGCCAGCCCAAGAGTGCACCCATGAGAATGAAAGCAGCCACCGGCGACCATACATATACGAGGCCATATACGTAAGCTATCGATCCAACGAAGGGAATCATGCTCAAAAGGAACGGGAGGCGTGCAAAGACGCGCAGGGAACGATGGTGTTTGCCTAGGATCACTCTCTAGAGGACTCTGAGCGAACGAATAGATGGGAAATGGGTCTTGTCGACATACCCTTAGAAATCTGGACCCTCGATTGGTGAGAGCGCAAAATAGGCACAAACACAAGGTGCAGCTAAACGCCAGCACTGAAGTGAGCGTAACAATACTTCTGCATCTGGCCAAGACCTCGTTCGCAGGATCCGGTAGCATAAAGAGTGGCAGGAGGAAGCTCGAGGGATGGATTAGTAGAGATCAGACATCCGAGCGATGTTCGTACTTACAAGAACGTCATCCGTAGCTGCTCAATCCATGGGCAATGTGATCCGTCATTGAGAAGATGCTATGCTCACCTCTTGCTCCCATTCATCCGCCAGACATTCCTGCAATCGTTCTAGCTCCATGTCCGTCAGAGCGCCACTAGACGACAGCTGCACGCGCGACGGCTGGCGATAACTATGATCAATCAGCATCCAGCCCTGTGCGCCTAGTGAGAGGGAGGTGCGGGCACTTACTGCCAGGATGGAAGCACCGGAATATACCTCTCGTACATCGGCGGAGCATGAACCAGGTGAGCATCCGTGACATCTTGAGTATGATTCTTCGAAGGGAGAGCGGTCTTATCGTCACTCCTGCTCTTGGGCTGGCGAGTACGTTTCGTTACATCGTCAAGGTGCAAATGGCTGAGAGATCTCATGGTGGGGAGAGGTCAGTCGAGTAGCGATGTCGGTGAACTGACCGATAAATCGCGACTCCACTATGGCCACGGTCAACGCAGGCCGCATACTGCTCAGCGATGAATCAGACATGACAACATGCATGCGCATCGCATTCATAGGTGAAGACTTCGATACACGTGGTGCGAGACCTGCACTTCGAAGGCTTGTCGTGATGTCTAGCATCGGATCGTATAACCTAACATACGAGCCCATGCCTAAGTTGAGCTATCCAGCCGAGAGATTGCGACGCAGTCTTGAAGACGGAGGGTCGCCTGGTACCGAGATGACGATACTAATGGTCTCTACAATGATTTAGATGGGTACGTGATCATCACTGCCGGTCTGAATGTTCGCGCTGCTTCAGCCTGCCTCGGTCGGTCAGTACACGCCGTGTTCACGAGAGAGTTGACTTCGACTGCTGATCACCCTTGACGTACGTTCAACTCCCGGGCCGCTCGAAGGACGTCTTGTGCGTTTCTTGCTTTGTCAGAGTTGAGGCTTACGCCGAAGCCATCTATCAGTCAAGTTCTACGCCGCTCGGATCGAATTAATCCTGTTTTCATTGCGCGGTCAGCGGCAGTCGTAGAGCTTCATGAACTCATGATGACTGACCTGTGGAGAACCATAGATTGCCTACTGAGTACAATGCGCATCTTCCTGGATACGGCTCGCGGGGGAGATCTAGGAAATAACAGCACGCATTCACTCATAGCCGTTACAGCTGAGCGTCGGACGGCGAAGCCGATGGACATGCATGGGAAAGACAAGACGGTGGCGTAGTATGCTCAGACACGCCGACAAGAAGCGCGGAATGACACGGAACGCTTCAACGGCGCGCGCTGTATATTAGATACGCTTGCACAGATGCCGGTTAATTCATGATATTTGAGCATGGAGACCGAACCGGTGTGCGGGTCCATTCACTCGGGCGGGTGGTACGCACGCTGTGCGCTAAGGTTCACGAGTCTCCAAGCGGTGCTTCGTCGCACAATTCACGGTGATAGTCAGAGCACCGCCATGAGCGGATGGCTAGGAGTCATTGAGAGTTGCAAGGAGCGAGGGGTGCGAGTCTGACTGGGGTAAAGAAACCGCTGTGGGGAAGATATGCGGACAACGGACGGGCACAGGTCTTGACGACATGATCACCCCGTCCGCGTCGCCAGACAGCAACATTCCATGCATATTCGCCCGCACAGTTCTTGGACTCAGTAGCAGAGTATGGTAGGACAGGCCTTGTGCTGCGATGCGGGTTGCTCGGACATGGACGCTGTGGGCAAAGTCCGTGCGCGCGACGCGCGTCGAACAGGATCCGGAAAGCTTAGTCCAGACGGCCATCACTGGACTTGTTGAGCGGTGCCCTCATCCTGTACAAGTGCACCCATAAAATCGTTCAACGTCGTATCCGCGACTGCGGTCAACATCATGAGCGATGTCCGATTTCCGAGTATTCTTCCGTACAAGTGCAGGTGCGGAACGGTGGCACGAGACACCAGCCCTCTTGACCAACCCCGAACAGCGATATGACGGACAGTGAGCTCACGACCTATAATCAGCAAGACTCGTTCGATGTCGAGAGGATGCCGAAGTCGCAGCTCAGGTGGCGTTCAGGGCAACGTACGCCGAACGAACCACAAGCGCTCGAGACGTCCGTGAACCGGACCAACGATTCTGTCACTATAGCATCGCAGCGCCGTCTGGCACGTATACACGCTCTTCAGAACGAAAAAGCGAATATGGACATCCCCATCTCCCGCATCCCCGGCGAGATTATCCGCCTCATCTTTCAATGCCATGCAGACGACAACGAGGTCGCCCGTGTCATGGGCCGCACCCTATTCGCTTCCACATCCTATGAAGTCGGCAGAAGCTGGCTCGTCCTAGGACAAGTCAGTCGTCTCTGGCGACAGATTCTCTTCGATATGCCTACGTTATGGGCAAAGAAGTTGTTTACGCTCGGGTATCGCAAGGTTCCCACGCTACTCCCTCTCACAAAGGAAGCTCTCCTGGACATGGACTTTTGCGACCAGCTTGGCCAGACGGAGAGCACGTGGAACGAGATGAGGCCGTACATGAACCGCGCCTGGCGAATAACAAACGAGAGCTACATGGTCGATCAGGTCGTCCCGTTCATGGAGCTTCTCTCGTCGCAACCCCTTCCTCATCTGCGCGCCATCAAGCTGACTCGCTCCTACCTGCAAGGAAGCGTCCCCTCTGCGGTCATGTCTGACCATCCGAACTTGCGCTCTATCATTCTGGACAGCGTATACATGCGATCTCCCCTCCACGGCGGACTCGTGTCGCTCGAGATCGATCTCTCGCGATCCGGTATCATCGAGCGGCCCGACTACAACGAGCTCATGACCATTCTGTCACACAATCGGCAACTCCGACGTCTCGACCTCAAAGGTGTACTTCACGATGCCAAGAAGTCGGCCAGCCGGCTCATTCTCCCTGCTCTTGAGTCCCTTCGCCTGAATAACAGAGACCATCTCCATACGGCTTGCTTGCTCGACAGCTTGTACATGCCTTCCCTACGTACAGCGACGGTCCATCCAGAGCACGCACTGTCCAGTCGTAGGGACTCCCTCGTCGTTCATCGCAGTCTATTAGACGCTTGGACAGACGAGAATACGATGAGCGCATCCTCAAGCTCGCTAGTAGTAGAGCGAGTATTCGGGTCCGAGGGCATGTGCAATATTCACGATGTGGCCCTGAGGGGCTTTCTGGCTGAGATTTCGACACCAACGAAACAGTTCTCAATCGCGGAGTATGTTGAGGAGCCGAATCCAACTTGGTCCAGGTATGTCGGCCGGCACACCATACGCTGGCAGCATACGGACATGAGTGATTGATCTCGGTTGGTTCAATACAAGTCCATCAAAGTTGCAGAAGTACGTTTCATACATAGCAGAGAATTGAACACGGTGAAAAGGGGGGACGCGGCCACTTGTACTACTACATGGATACCTTTGTAGGTGTGACACTATACATAGGGTACTGCTATTCGCGATGAATGACACACAGGATTACCATTATGGTCTGTGAATAGAGGATGAGCGACGAACATGGATGATGATGGATGCAGAGCGAGGTCCAAGCTTGGTTAGCAAGGCACCTTCACGTGGACCCGCGCGGAGCCGACGTGGCACCAACACATCCCCATCATCTCGCAGGCGCAGCCTTTAGCAGCTCACACCATCTCTATTCCTCCCTTCCATATCCTGCTCAACCCGGTCTATCCCGTCTAAGGTCTACTATGCGCTACACGTCTATTCTGGGCGCCGCGGCATTTCTCGCCACGGCCGCGCATGCCGTGGACATCGTCTGTGCGCGACTTTAGCCCCTCGCGCGTCGACATGTCAGAACTGATGCGCTTGTCGTGTGATGTAGCCCCGGTACTCGACAAAGTCAACGAAGTATTCTCCAGCGAGCCTGAGCTACTTGCTGTCGCCGAGTTTCCGGAAAGCAACCCCTTCGGCCGTACGTCGCTCCTCTCCATCTCCCGAACATCTCACTGAAATACGTTTGTAGATGTTGTGAATGGCGAGCAGAACCGGATGGACCTGCGCATCGAGAACTCTTCAGGCAAGAACGTCACTCTGCTCACCATTGCTGGTGGATTCTACGGCCCGCAAGATAACCTCATCAAGCCTGCAAGTTCTGCTCGTCTTCGTGTACGAAGAAATACTGACGATTCGATCTGTACAGACGCAGAACTTGACGTATGGTCTGAACCTCGTGGACGGCATCAAGCTCTCGCTCCCGTACCAGTTCCACAGCGAGTACGTTGCTATTCTGTTTCTGCGATTGAATCCGGCTGATAATCTCCGCGTAGGCTGAAGACGGGCGAGGTGAAGCTCAAGATCGAGCTTGAGCACTTGACCGAGGTACATCCTGCTTTATTTACGCATATGCCTGAATATTGACATCATGAGCCTTCTTCAGGGTATCCGTTACCGCATTCCGGTCTACGACAGCGTCGTGACAGTCGTCGAGCCTGAAATCTCCGCCTTCGACATCAAGATGTACGCCTTTGCATCCCGAATATTCCTACTGTATCCGACTAACGTTCTGCATAGGCTCTCGACATACATCATGGTCCTCTCCCTCCTCGGCGCCGGCGGCTACTTCGCCTACCTGACTTTCGTCCCCCAACCCAAGCAGAAGCGTCGTGGCGCCGCCTCGGCACCTGTCTCCGAGCCCGTTGCCGTCACCGCTACCGGTGCAGGCGGATACCAGGAGGAGTGGATTCCCGAGCACCATCTCAAGAAGACGAAAGCTGGCAAGAAGGCTGGAGCACTTAGCAGTGGCGATGAGTTGAGCGGTGGTGAGACTAGCGGCGCGGAGGGAAAGAGGAGGAAGGCCCGCAAGTAGGATACATATGCGGTGTTGTCTGTTGTGACCAAAAGGATATCTATCCCGCGATTTCTTGCTGCCAAGACGTGTTTCTGGAGTGACGGTGGAAACCCGCTCTGGTACTACATACGTACGTGGGCACAGCTGGACGATCCAGTCTGGGGTATGGATTGGGATGAGGATCGACTCATCATGCCAGACGACATCCATCGCCAAGAAGATGTGAAGCATACAGACGTCCTTTACATACCTTCACACTATAAGAGAACTTGATGAGTGCTGCACGTCTGTGTCTCGTCAACACGAGGCGCAAGTAAATATGCTCCTCCATAGCCAGTACTGTACTTGACGTGAAGAATGTCCGCCCGAGTCTGGGAGCAGACTCGGCCGGGCTAAAACCGATGGTCCCATCCGTCGTCATCGTCCACTCGGTTACTCGGTCCGATCACCACACTCAAGTGGCGGGGCAGCACAGCAAGACTGATTCTCAAGCTTCCATGTTGTCGAAACGAGTCCGTGTACTGAAACCCGGTATGAAGGATAACCTCGCACAACTCTTGAGCGGCCTCGCAAATTCTTTCAGGACTCGATTCGAGCGCTTCGGCGAGGCCAAAGATCTCGAGGACACAATCAACGCTGGTCGCCGCGCTATTGACCTTACTCCGGAGTGACCCCAGCCTCCCGTTGTGGCTATGCAACCTCGCGCTCTGCTTCAAGGCTCGATTATCCCGGTTCGGGGACGACAATGACCTCAAGAGGGCGCTCGAAGCAAACGAACGCGCCGTTGAACTTATACAGAGTAACAACCTTTACCTTCCTCTGCTTGTTAAATAAGCTCGCAAACACCTTCGTCACTCGATTCGAGCATTTGGAGAGTTCAAAGATCTCGAGAGCGCATTAAACGCCGGCCGACGTGCCGTGGAGCTCACCCCGAGTTATGACTCCGGCCTTCCGGGACGTTTATGCAGTCTTCTTGCGCTCTGCTACAATGCTCGATTCCATCTTTATGGAGACTGCGACGACCTTGAGGGGCCACTCGATACAGACAAACGCGCTGCGCAGCTTATACAGGTAGATCACCCCCAACTTCCGCTGCTGTTGCACAATCTTGCTACCTCCTGTATGTCTCGATTGAACTGGCTCGGAAACAGCGGAGATCTTGAGCTCGAGAGCGCGTTTGAGGTCGCCCAACGTGCCGTTGAGCTTAAGCGCTCACCCCGACGGACAAGCCTGATCTTCCGTGGCGGTTGAATGTCCTCGCAGACACCTTCCTCACTCGATACGGGTGCTTCGGGGATGGCGACGAATTCAATTGTGCCCTCAACATGAACCGACGCGCGGCCGCCGCGGCGAAGCGAACGGTGACATCATACGGTTGGTCGCGTCTCGCGCACGACGCGCGCGGCGGCAGTTAGCGGCCCGACAAGGACTTACTGTATCCCCACCCTTCGCTCCAGCAGCGTACATGCCAGCGTACCCTCTCGGCATAGCTATGGACCTTCAACAGCCTTCTCCGGGCGGGGTTACACCCGGGAAAGTTGTAGGGAATATTGCCGCGATTCTCCGAACCTTTCCCACGCCTCGGTCGCGAGTTCTGGAGTCGTGCACGCGCAGCCTCCTCGCTCTCGACCACCACCACTAATATGGTGTCCCTCACCACTCTTACAATGTCATCGCGGACTTTGACTTCCTGTACTACCATTCTTAGCGTCACTGCTGCTGTTATTGCATACGGTTGTCCTTCTATTTCCGAAGAACATGCATCGCCTCATGATTCACCAGTACACCCATCCTAGTCTTTGTCCCAGCGCAGGTAGTGAAACACTTAGACCATTGGCATTGCACCTGAGACATAATTCATTCATGTAGACTTAAGGTTTGAGAAGCCGCATTTCCCGGCTGCGCAGTGCTGTCCTGTGCTGTCCCGACGTCCTCGCAGTACTCGTCCACAGTATGAGACCTATTCTGCTGAGGAGCTGTCCGAACATAGAGCCCATGAGGCTAATCGTCATGATGCTGCGGTGCAAATGACCGCAGTCTTGTTAGCGAGAAGCTCACTCGCAATGGTCCACGGGGCAGGCCATGGTTGGTATTCGAATGGGATGTCGTTGGGTACGCGCTCATGATGATGTCTGCCAAAAGGCCACTGAACCGAGTTCAAGTTGACAGACAGCTCAAATAGACTGCCAGTGCTCAATCTTTGGCCTTGAAGGAAGGCAGAGTCGGTGCAAACTTCTCTTGAGCGCTTGTTATCGCCGAACCAGTGCTGGCTTGTGCTGCTGGCGTTAAGCTAGAGGCTCTGCAAGGTATAACGATGGTTGTCTACGATGTAGGAGGGTCTTCGCTGATGTCGCGCGGGACAGTGCTTGCGAATGTCGTACAGTCAATCATCCTCGACGGCGGAAATGAAGCAACAGCAAATTGGTACGCTTATCTTCGGCGAAGGGCTGGATGCAAGTACAAGTCCAAGTCCTGAGTGCGACGTGCCTCTTGCACGTCCGTGTCATCTTGTACCCTGTGCGTGATTTCTTGAAAGCCGTCACAGCCTCTGAACTATGCATTGCATAGCATATAAAGGTATGTCGTTCTCTCTCTACGCCCACACGAGCTCGCCCCAGTGCCCCAAGACAGTGCCCGGTCGACAGCCACAGCTTCTGATTCATTGCCACACTTGGGCGGTCTAGGAGTGGCTGGATACTCAGTCTCTGATACAAGATGCCGGATCAATTCGAGGGTTGCAAGTTCCGAGCACACGGTGCAGAGGCGAGTGGCTGCTCTCAAGCTCCCGAGTTTCGTTGACCGTCTAGTGTTCTCAGTTTCTGCCGATCCCGTTCAAAGTGATACAATCGCGTCGCAAACATCTTCTTAAATCGCATGCTGTTGAGTTGATTCAGTATATGATCAAGCCATCGTCATACTGACATTGATGGAATGGATCATGGTTCATTAGATCAGATATAGATGCGACCCCTCGTCTTCGTTGCAAAGGACGGTCGACCGACTGCAACGCCGCGAAAATCACACACGAAGATTGATTGGTGTCAAACGTACTATTATGTTTTATTATTGGGCTCTCCAGCTCACACCCGATGGTCATCTTCGCAATCTGGAGCAGCTGGATGGTCTTGGGCGTCACTTACACTGTCTCAATCTACAATCCTGCCAGAAGCAGCAACTGCAGTGCTCTATCTCGGTTTTCCATATCGCAGTGGAGTGTTGCTTGTTGGATGATCCTTGCCTCCCACTGTTCCTGAACAACCTTGCGGTCTCCTTCCACTCTCGATTTGAACGCTTCGGAGACTCCAGGGATTTGGAGAATGCACTCGATGCAGAACGACGCGCAGTCAAGCTCACGCCGACGGACGATCCTAATTTCCCGCGGTTGCTGAGCAACCTCGCGGCCGTCTTAAGCTCGCGATTTGGACGCTTCGGAGAGTCCAGCGACCTCGATAGCGCACTCGATACACACCGACGCGCAGTCGAGCTCACGCCGACAGACGACCCTGAACTCCCGCTGCGGCTGAGCAACCTCGCGACCTCATTCCTCTCTCGATTTGAACGTTTCAAGGACTCCAGGGATTTGGAGAACGCACTCGATGCAGACCGACGCGCGGTCGAGCTCACGCCGGTGGACGACCCTAAGCTCCCGCGGTCGCTGAGCAACCTCGCGGTCTCCTTCCACTCTCGATTCCAACGCTTTGGAGACCCCAGTGATCTGGAGAGCGCACTCGATGCAGAGCGACGCGCGGTTGAGCTCACGCCGAATAACGACCTTAATTTCCCGCTGTGGCTGAACAACCTCGCGATCTCCTTACACACTCGATTTGAACGCTTCGGAAACTCCAGCGATCTGGAGAACGCACTCGATGCCAACCGGCGCGCGGTCGAACTCACGCTGGAAGACGATCCTTGCCTCCCGCGATGGCTGAACAACCTCGCGGCCTCCTTTTTCTCTCGATTTCGACGTTTCGGAGACTCTAACGACCTCGATAGAGCTCTTGATACACAGCGGCGCGCGGTCGACCTCACGCCGACGGACAATCCTAAATTTCCGCTGCAGTTAAGCAACCTTGCGGTCTACTTCCACTCTCGATTTCAACGTTTCGGAGACTCCAGGGATTTGGAGAACGCACTCGATGCAGAACGACGCGCAGTCAAGCTCACGCCGACGGACGATCTTAATTTCCCGCTGTGGCTGAGCAACCTCGCGTCCTTCTTAAGCTCGCGATTTGGACGCTTCGGAGACTCCAGCGACCTCGATAGCGCACTCGATGCAGAACGACGCGCAGTCGAACTCACGCTGGAAGACGATCCTTGCCTCCCGCGATGGCTGAACAACCTCGCGGCCTCCTTTTTCTCTCGATTTCGACGTTTCGGAGACTCTAGCGACCTCGATAGAGCTCTTGATACACAGCGGCGCGCGGTCGACCTCACGCCGACAGACAATCCTGATCTTCCGCTGCAGTTGAGCAGCCTTGCGCTCTCTTTCCACTATCGATTTGAACGCTTCGGAGACTCCAGCGATATGGAGAACGCACTTGATGTCAGCCGACACGCAGTCAAGCTCACGCCGACGGACGATCCTAATTTCCCGTGGCGGCTGAGCAGCCTTGCGCTCTCTTTCCGCTCTCGATTTGAATGTTTCAAGGACTCCAGGGATTTGGAGAACGCACTCGATGCAGAACGACGCGCGGTCGAGCTCACGCCGGCGGATAACCCTGGGCTCCCGTGGTTGTTGAGCAACCTCGCGACCTCCTTCCAATCTCGATTTGATCGCTTTGGAGACTCCAGTGATCTGCAGAACGCACTCGATGCAGAGCGACGCGCGGTCGAGCTCACGCCGACGGACGACCCTGAACTTCCACGGCGGCTGAGCAGCCTTGCGCTCTCTTTCCGCTCTCGATTTGAACGCTTTAGAGACCGTATCGACCTCCAGAGCGCACTCAATGCCCATCAAAGTGCCGTGAAGCTGACTCCCGATGGCCATCCCGAGAAGTTAGTACGGATCCGACGTTTTGCTGATTGTTGCGCCTGTCGCTTCATGCAACAACGCACGCAACAAGACTTTGACGAAGCTGATTCATTATATCAAAGTGCAATGGATCAGCATGTCGCGAATCCGGTGGCGCGTTCTAGTTGTGCAGAAGCGCACATGCAGTTTCTCACGGAAAACGCCCAGTTTTCTGATCTTGCCTCACTATTCTTCGCGCATTCGCGAGTCGTGGACACACTCCCTGAACTTGTCTGGCTCGGCCACAGTGTCGAACGCCGACTCAAAGACTCTGCTCGTGCAGGCGTGCTTGTCAATTCAGCTGTGTCTGTTGCTATCGAGAGCAGGGAGCTCAGCCAAGCTGTGGTGTGGCTGGAAGCCGGTAGGGGCCTCATCTGGTCACAGATCGCATCTATACAAAGCCCCTTAGATGATCTTACAGAGCGCTATCCTGATGCTGCAAGCGAGATGCGCAAAGCTCGCCACAGACTGCAACAACTTGGCACAGCCGCGCAAATCAGTATGCGCGCGCCGATCACCGTCGATCGACGCGGCCCCACACGCAATGAGACTATGGACCACAGCCACTACGTCCTCCCCATCGAAACGGCTTCATACCGATACCAGAAAGCGGTCATTACTTATGACTCACTCGTGAAGAAGATTCGCTATTTAGATGGGTTCCAGGACTTCATGCGGCCCAGGAAGCTGGCAGATCTCGTTGCGTCACCCGCATTCCGCCGCTTGAGCGCAACCGCCGTTGTTTTTATAAACGTTGCTGAAATGTCTTGCGACGCTCTTGTCCTCTCCAACGATGGCGCTGTGAAACTCGTTCACTTGCCAGAGCTCTCAAAGGCCGGCGCAGAGAAGTTACAATCTTTATGGATGGAGCATGTTGGCATTCGTAGAGGTCACAGACGCGGGGAGACGTCCCGGGGGGACGCGCGCAACATCTATGCATACTCAAACATCTACGTTCGCTTGTTGAGCCGTCTGTGGTCATGGGTCATATATCCAATCCTGTTGGCACTGGATCTCGTGAGTGATATTGATCAATATCTCGCCAGAGAGACTGATGAATGCGGACGTAGATCACAACACCGTCAGGAAAACCCTCATCACACATCATCTGGTGCCCCACGGGTTCCCTCACTCAGCTACCGTTACACGCGGCAGGGAATTATGACCAGAGGGAGCCACGTCTCCGAATCTTCGACTTTGTCATATCGTCGTACACTCCATCCCTCTCAGCGCTACTCAGGTGCCTAGGAAAGGACTTACCCGCGACTCCTCCAAGCATGTTGCTTGTCGCGCAGTCTCATAACCCTCGTCTTCGGTCGGCTCCTCTGCCATGTGTACGGGATGAAACTGCCTGTCTTCGCGCGATCTTGCCCGGGGAAGGCCACGTGTTCCTCGAGGACGTGCAGGCATCGGTCGAGCACACGCTCGCCGCAATTAACCAGCACAGCTGGGTGCATTTTGCGTGCCACGCCTCTCAGAACTCGGAAGACCCGACACTGACCGCGATCGAGCTACACGATAAGCCTCTCACTCTGGAAACGCTGATGCACAACGTCTCCAAGAGCGCGGAGCTGGCGTTTCTCTCAGCGTGCGAGACGGCCGTTGGTGACAAGACGATACCGGAGGAGTCGGTGCATCTCGCTGCAGGGATGTTGGCGGTCGGGTTCAAGGGAGTAGTGGCGACGATGTGGTCCATATATGACCAGGACGCCCCGGTCATCGTTGAGGCATACTATAAGAAGTTGCTTGAGCTGCGTGCCTCTAGAGACATCCCATTAGGACACACCGGTGCGGCGTATGCTCTGCATCATGCGACGATGGTATTGAAGGATAAGGTTGGCGAGAAGAACTTCGAGCGATGGGTTCCGTTTGTACATTTCGGCGTCTGATATAGTTCATTAAGATTAATTATCCATATGCCTGTCATTTGTGTCCCTGGTGGCCATGCAGCTTTGCTTTCGAGTGTGATATTCGATATTCTGAGAGATTATAACGGTCACCAAAACCGTAACCACGCGCGGTCGATGTGACCGAGGTTGCCTTCTGTCCCAACAAGCGCGCCGGGCGAGCAAGACAGTCGTCAAGTGGAGATTCAGCATCCCAGGCCTCAAAATATACTCTGCATGCATTGTGCGGATTCGGCCTGAGAGCAGGTGGCCGGAAGGTGATCTGTCGACGGCCATTATCGCACAGAGCGGGAGTCTGTACGAGGAAGCACTCATGCGGCCATGCAGACTCGGGCAAAGCGTGCGACGGCACTCCACCGGGGCAAAGATGGCAGTAGAATCGAAAGCAATATGAATGCAGAGGGGAACGAGGTCTATCACAATGATATGTAGGCGCTCAGAATGTCGTGTCGACCTGCTTATATCCCTTCACCTGCTCAAATAATTAGCCATTGATACTTAAGACCGGAATCATGCGAACGTACCCTGCTGTCCGCAAGCATAGAGGTGTACCTATCCGCGAGATCCTGGCACTTCTCATAGTGGTTCACGCCCTCTACACGGTGACACTCCTGCAGCATGTCGCGCACAATTCGCGCCTCCATCGAACGGACCCACGACTCGCGGACGTGTGCGTCGCGCGCGGCCAGGCGCGCTATGTTTCGAGTCAATATTCTATCATCATCAATGAGGTATTTCAGCGCACCCTTCATCTCCTCTGATAGTTGCGACATGGTGGTGGTTGAACTGGGCGGCAACGTCTTCCGCGACTCGCGCGCGCTCGGAACGCGGAGATCACTCCCACGAATATATTTCGTCCCCGACCCTACGCCGACCACATCTGACCCGGCGACCACCATATATCATGTGTTTATGCCCTTGTTGGTGTGCAACCTCCGGGTGCTCGACTGAGGTCTAACCCGAAGTTGCACTTGTACGACCACCATGAGCAGCCAGTCGTTCCCGGCCGGTGACAAGCCCCTGGTCACTCTTACCCGCCGTACGCACCGCATACTATCCTTCCATATTGAACCTCCTAGACTCAACTGGATCTGTAGCTTCTCCGACCGTATGGCAACTTGAGATACATCATGCGCCGGATAACAGGCTCACTCGTGCGGTTGTCCAAACCGGTCTGAGACCCGCGCTCGACGCCGCGGAGAGCGAGTGGCGAACGGCGCGCAATGCGGCGTTGAAAGCCAAGGACAAGAGCGCGACGGCCGGTGCGGGTGCTCTGGTCATTGTTGGAATGCGCGGGCAGGCCAAGTTCTTCTCCAACGGTAAAGACTTTCTGGTCAGTCGCCGTGCTTCCTGTGGGGCTGAACTGCGTTACCAGGATTCGATTACCAGTCTGTCGTTGCAGACCCGACTTGGTTCACTGGTGCGCATATCGTACCGTAATCTCCTTCGTAGACTGATCATCGTCGTACACAGACGTCTTCGACCCGTTCCTGGTCCGCCTCTTGACTTTCCCCAGTGAGCAGCTGTCATTCCGCTGATACATGCCTCGGGCGCTGAACCTTAGATACTAGTGCCGACGGTGGCCGCAATCAACGGACACTGCTTTGCCGCTGGACTGATCACGTCTCTCGCGTGCGACTACCGCGTCATGACGGACGGCAGCAAGCGTAACGCTTGGTTGTGCATGAACGAGAGTATGTACCCCTCCTACCATCCACTTCGACGACCCCTAACATCGTTCGTCTTTCACCAGTCGACTTTGGCGCGAACTGGCCCTCTTCTTTCGCCGCTATCGCCCGTCACAAGCTCTCCGCACCAACCATACGCACTCTCGCCCTCGAGGGACACCGCTTCACACCTTCCGATGCGCTCAAGGCTGGTATTCTCGATGCCGCAGTGCCAGGTGGCACCGAAGCCGTCTTGTCCGCTGCAGTCGCGCTCGCTGAGAGCAAGGCCGGCAAGGCTCGCGCAGGAACGTGGGGCCTGATTAAGCACGAGCTCTACAGGCCTATCATCGAGGTCACGAAGACGGAGTACAGGCCATGGAACACGCAGATCGACGAGGCTGCTGCGAGGGCAAGATTGGCGAAACTATAGGTTCACTGATGGAATAAGTACATGTACATTGCTTCAATCTACTCTTCCAGAGTCCGTTGCATCTGCCTGGTTGGACACATACAACGAACCGAGCCTCCTACATTCAAGCAACAGCGACCGCATCTCCTCGTCATCCACTTCAAGTTCCGCCCGTTTCGGTTGTGGCGCCTCAGCTTCGATATCGTCCTCGTCACTTTGCCGGTGCTTGAGACTCAGAGGGAGCATGCTCCTGTCGATGTACGCGCGGATGAGGTGGTAGGGATCCATGTGCTTGGCCATCTCGCTCGCCTCCGCGATCTCTAGACTGAGCTCTTCGCGAGGCATGACTGTCTGCGACGGGCTTTCCTCCTCCTTCTCGAGCTGTATATGATTGGTCATCGCATACGCTTCTTCGATCTCTTGACCGAGCTTGTGTCGATGAATAGTATTGGCCTCGTCGGCAAACACCGATTCATCCGCTGATCCCATCCTTCTGCTCCTCCAGCTTCGTATCGAGCCACTTCGGAGACATGGCCTTCCGCGCCCTTCGGTACACAACTTGCAACACTCTGGTGCGCGGGTTGTACATGGTGTATGCCATATGGCGGTACTTCGGCTGGGAGTTGTACGGTGTAGAGCGACACTCGTTCAGGGGGGTCTTGATCGGATTCATTCGCATACGTCGAGGTTTGCCCTCCGATGTCCATCCTCGCAGATACAGCCGGGCCCTGTTAGTGCGATGATACTCAGCGTCAACGCAGGATACTGAACCGGTATCCAGTTCTGAATGACATACCTCAGTCTTTTCGGGGGCGCCGTCGTGCTTTGAGTTCTGCTCGGCCACTCGTTTCGCAAGGGGATAGCGGTACTGGGGGAGACTGGTTCTATGGTCGGATTTGCGACGGACCATGATGTGTTGGAGTCCGACACTCGCGAAATGGTGGGATTATATATATTCGTGAGAGACGTAATGAAGGCGCCCGTGTATTGCCCTCGTGCTCGTTCTCGGTGTTGCCTCGAACTTCATTCTTTGCTCTCGGGCAACTCATGATGTAGTGCTCGAGCATACAATGCCCGCTCTAGGGCGAGGCTAGTACGTCGCCCCAATCTGTCAGCAACGACTGGGAGACGAAGTTCAGATGCGACGGGCGTGGACAAGTTCGCGCGTGGCTGCACGGAGACTGCCGCAACAAAGCTCTCATCCCCAGAGGGAATCGGCCTCCATCTGGCCGGTTGTGGCGGGTTGTGGCCAACGGAACGTGACCTGAGCTGAAGTTCCGGTGAGGGCCTGCCAGGACCGGTGGTGACGGGGAAACTGGCAATAGGCCATTCACCACAGGACGTGGCAGGTCGTCACCGAGGGTCTGCCATCAGCGGTTCGAATGATTATTTTCACACTATACAGTTGATTTGTTTTTGCTTGCCGATTAAATCGCACTTTTATTAGGAGGCACAAATTGCATTTCAAAGGAGCACTAGCTACGGGGGCTACAGGAAGCGATGCGGACTGTAGCCCTACTGGACAACGTAATACTGTAGGATACAAAAAACGGTCGTAGCAAGGTACTTGGGCGAATACAAAGAAGAGACGGAAGGTGGGGCATCTAAAGGCTATAAAGTGTGTGCCGAAGCGGTACTCTACAGTAGGAACAACAGGCAGCGCGAAGCGCTGCCGAATATGCGACAGCGGCGCGGCGCGAAGCGCCGCCCGTCGCTCGCGGGTCGTGTAGAACGGACAATTGGCCTCCTTGCCGTCCGCAAATATGTCTGGGAAGTCCGACAGACAGCGCGAAGCGCTGTCAGATATGCGGCGGCGGCGCGGCGCGAAGCGCCGCCCGTCGCTCGTTGGACGCGTATCGAAGGACGAAGGAGGTTCTTGCTGTCTGGGATATCTGTCGGTGAGGCCCAGTCAGTCATAGAGGCAGCGCGAAGCGCTGCCAGATTGACGGCGGCGGCGCGGCGCGGAGCGCCGCCCGTCGGTCGCGGTTTGAAGGAGTGGGGGAGGCCGTATGTTCGTGGGCACAGGAAGCAGCAGGGTGCCAGGGCGGTAGGCGGCACGAGTGCCCTATCGATGCGAGGCCGAAGCCGCTGGGGGCGATGGTGGTGGTGGTCTTAGCCAAGAACGAACGGATGCCGCGTGCGGTGGAATGCGCTGGCAAAAGCGCGTGGGCGGGGCTTCGCAGCAAGAAATTCGCCCAGTCCTCCCAGTCGCGCGAGTCCATTGCCCTTGCGTACCGAATACCCGGACCAATTCAGCGGCGGGCGGCGCTTCGCGCCGCGCCGCCGCCGCATATTTGGCAGTGCTTCGCACTGCCTGCTCCTCTCCGTACGGCGCGGACTAAAGTACGAGTAACAAGTACTGTATCATGCATTTTTATTCCAGCCCTTGTCCGCAAGCGACGGGCGGCGCTTCGCGCCGCGCCGCCGCCGCTCCATATTTGGTGGCGCTACGCGCCACCCACCTCGCCTTCGACGCATCAAACGCGCCGGAGCGTGCATATTTTTGTAGAAGGGCGTGGTGCGGAGCGGGACCCGGCACCTGCGCACGCGAGTCCCCATCTGAACACCATTTCTGCGGCATTAACGGTCTCATTTACCGCATCGAAGCTCTCTTCGCTTGCCTTTGAGAAGCCTGTCGAGCTCGCTTCTGTTCGCGCAGAGCGCGAGGACCCGCCACGAACGACGACGACCGGCAGAATTCCCACGAGCTTCAAACTTTGGCCACGACCCGCCACGACCCGCCAGATGGAGGCCGATTCCCTCTGGGTCTCATCCTTCGCCCCCACTTCCTTCTGACGCTCATGATCTCAATCTCCATAGTCATCTAGGCTCCTAAGAATTAGTTGTGGCAACCAATCTGAGTACATTGCGCTGCTTTGGAATGGCAACGGTTCACCCACGATGGAATCATTCAAGGTCGAAAACAGACTTCTTGAAACCCGGATAGCCCGCCTTGTCTTCGGACTCATCCGACTGTACACAGCGAAGCGCTTGCTTACCATATGCTAATGGACTGCCAAGCCTCCCTTGGTGATTGTACTGCCGCCTGAAAGTGATTGATTAACCCTCGAACCAGGGCCCTGGTGGTCTTCTCGACTGGCGATCGGCTCCTACGCATGGCTTCATTCTCACAGCGTGACGGAGTTGCAGATACTCAAAAGACAGGCGCTCCAGGGTTTCACCCAGAAGGAAGGCCCAGATACCACCCCGGCGTCTGTGACGACCCTACGCTTTTGCTCTTAAACGCTATGCCTGCTGCTGTCCTTCTCGATTCACCTTCTCAACACGCGATGTCGCCCGACACCATGTCAGCATCCCAGGCCGAGTACGACGGACTCGGGAAGGAAGATTCGTACACAGACAACGAGAAGGCTCCCGCATACGACTTCTCAAGCTCTGCGGAGGTGGTGGACAGGAAGAGGCAGTCTCCATACCTGTCGCGTATGCGCTCCACGACGACCCTGGTCCGCCACGCGCGTCGGTCTGGCCTGTGGAAAGCGCCGGTGATCATGTTCATGACGCTACTCTCCGCGGCCATCGTTGGCATCGCCCACCATGTCTTTCTCACCGTCCTGGATGAAAAGAGCGTGGCCGATTTTCCGTATCCGCAGACGTGGATCCGTGACGTTGGCAATGCTCTTTCGCGCGTGGTTCAAATACTGTTGGAGTTGTCCGTAGGCATTGCCTTGACACAGAGCGTGTGTTGCCTCTTCTGCATCTGATCGTGTACTGTATACTCATCATACGCACCAGATCTGGTTCTACGTGAAGCGCTTCAACGTGTCCCTCAGCGAGGTCGACGATTTGTTCTCTCTGCCGTCGATCACGAGCTTTCCGCCTATTCTCCTTAAGTGGAGCGCACTCTTGGTGTTGCCGTTTGCAATCATGATTCAAGCATTCGCTCTCGTCGGTATTCTCGCGCCCAATGCACTATCCGTGATACCGGCTCGGCCAACGAAGGTCACCCTGAAAGTCCCTTTTCCTGGTCTCGATAAGATACCGGTTGTCGACAGTTCCGTGTTTTGGGACTACTCCAAGGGCTTTCTCTACTCTTCGCCTTCTCCGGCATTCAGCAGAGTTGCGAATGGGGTACTGAATAACGGAGCTTTCCTGCCCTGGACTGCACCGTCGGGATGCGGTTTGGCATGCAACTACACTCTCATCTATCATGGCCCTTCACTGCAGTGCCAGGATCTTCCGGATCACTCCATTGCTGTCATGCCCACGGTTGATGCCTGGGATGGCGATAGGCGCCTGCCTCATCCTGCCTTCATCAACGGCAGTATACCGGTCGTCAACCCCATAGCTTTCATAGAGCAAGACGTTCTTTACAATGGGACGAGTTCCATCGGAGTTCCGAAGCTCGGTACTCTTGATAACTCAACGCTGCCTACGGGTCCGTACTTTGACCGTACCTGGGCGCCTGAAGGGCCCTACGCGTTTCAGCTCATCTATGCTACGAACAACTTCTCTATTGATGCAGGCAAACAAGATTACTATCGCACTTCGGGGTCGTACTGCATCTTTCGAAACGCAACCTATCATACGTCTGTGAGCTTTGCAAATGGGTCACAGACTGTTGTTCCTCGCATCTCAGAGTACGGCGATCCGCTGCTGTGGTTGCAAGAGTCAGATGAAAGCAACCCATGGGGATGGATCCAGACGTTGTCTTCAGACTCAGCTGCCCAGTTCTCCTTTGCTACGCTCGCGCTTGTCGATGCGATCTCTCGCTACTTCACAGGACAAGTGTCGATTGTGGGACGTGGTCCGGCGCAGATCACCGCCTTGCATACTCGCATCCTTGACTCGGCCGTCTTTACCTTCACAGCGAGCAACAACCCAAACACGTTCTCCATTGCGCCCTCTTCTGCCATGACGAACGGAGTCAGCCGAGCATTAGAAGATCTTTGCTCTCATGTCATAGCCTCCCTCATGTCCGACGAAGCCAGCCTGGGAATACACGCGCCAGTGACGGCTACTGTTCTCCCTGACATGAACATCTATGACTACAGGCCCTCTCGGCTGTGGCTCGTGTACGGTGTCGCAGTTGCTGTAGCAGCTGTCGCAAACATCTTGGGACTCGCGTGTATGCATTGGAATGGAGTTGCGATGCAGCGTACATTCTCGTCAGTCGCCGCCTCCGTGCGCGCGCGCGAGCTTGATGACTTGTTGAGTGGCCCCGAAGAGGCCCCGCGCCCTATGGCGAAGGTCGCGAAGCTACGGTACCGCGCGGGATTGCACCGGGAAGATGGGAGGTCGGGTTTCTGCATCATATCAGGCGGAGACGCTGTGCAGATGGCTGAAGTGGTCCGATTGAACGCTAATGAGGGGATGAGCCCGTAGAGCATTTGGGTCACTTCGCCCCATTGTCTTCTCTAGTCTTGGAATCGCCTATGGACTGTCATCTTGGATGTACTCGTACAAGTATCTTCTCTCTTCATGCTGCGATACCATCATTTCCCAAAAAACAGAATTCCAAGATGAAAGCGCACGCGGCGCACGTAACGACTACGACTACTACTGGTATACTACGACAAGAAATGCGCACGAGACTGTGATAGAGAGATGATAAAGGTATGATACAACACAGGGCTAGAAATGAACGAAGAGTCATCCGTGTAGAGAAAGTGCAAGATATGTATAAACCAGGAAATCCGAAACCAGCGCGACGAGAGAGACATAGGCCCAGCCTACTGCCCAAACTCGTCATCCGTCGAGCCTTCCGCGTCAGCGTCTGAGAGGTCCTGATCATCCAAAGGCCTGGAGACAGGACGAGAGCTGGGTGCAAGCTCCAGGGGTGTCGATACGCGTGTGACCTCGGGCGTGACCGTAGGCTCCGGCGCAGGAGGCGGAGAAGCGCGGGAAGCCTCGGGCGTGAAAGCCACAGGCGAAGGCTTGCCCATTCCCGCGGCGCTCTCGGCGACAAAGACCGTATCATCGCTCGGAGCGCTATGCCGGCCGTTCTCAGGCGGGCGCGCATCATCCGTCTCGCCTTCCGCATCAGCTTCTCCGTCCGCATCTGCTTCGCCGTCGGCATCGGCATCAGCGTCAGCGTCGGCGTCTGCATCTTCATCGGCGCCTTCGTCAGCCTTCTTCCCGTCCTCCTCCTTCTCACCCTCGGGGCCGTCCACCTCCATCGCCTCATCCGCATCCGCATCTCCGTCACCGAGCAGCTCCTTCTCGAGCTCCTCGTCCTCCTTAGTTTCCTCCTCGGGCTCAAGGCTACTCTCAATCCTCCTCTTCTTCCTCGCAATCCCCCGATTGCTCGAGCTCCGTCTCGACAAAGGCGGCGGCGCTTGAACCTCAACATCCGAACTATCCGCGACCCTGCTCTTCGCACGACGTTTCGAGTTTTTCTTGCGCAGAGAAGCCGGAGGCGTTTCGACCTCTTCGACCTCATCATCATCAACAATGAAGTCCTCCACCCGCCCCGACTCATCGTACTCGTCGTACTCGTCGGAGTCATCCGCATTCCTCTTCCTTGACCGCGAAGCGCGCGCTCTCGCCCTCGATTTCCGCGGCGAAGCGGGTAACGAATCGTCCTCGTCCTCGTCGTCGCTGACATGATCGTCCACCTCGAACTCGTCGTCGTCCTTCGCGCTCGAACGTCGTGGTCGTTTGCGCGATGATGGTGTAGCAGGTGCGGTACGCCGTCGCTGGGGCTGGGATTGAGGCTGGGGCTGGGACTTTTGTGATCGTGAGCGCTTCTTTGGGGAACTATCTGTCGACTTCGTGAAGCGCCCGTCGCCTCGGCGCGGCTGTAACATGTAGGTCGGCGTATCAGGACCTAAAGCGGGCTTGTCTCCATCCTCGGGCGCGGGATCGTCCTCAGCTTCAGCTTCAGGCTCGGGTTCGGGTGCAGGCTCTGCATCCTCCTGCGGACCGCGCCTCGATGAGCGCCTCGTACCCACCGGCTTCTGCGCCGCCTCATCACCCCTGCGATTCCGAGGTTTGCGCGGTGTAGGCGGCTCACTCGGTTCAACCTCAACCACAGCCGCCGCAGCCGCCCGGTTCCGCTCGCGTTCCCTTTCCCTCTCCCGTTCGCGTTGACCGGGCTTCCTTTTCTTCCGCGCGTCCGCCGCTGCCTCTTTCTCCTTCTCCTTCTCCTGCACCTGGACCTGTGCCTCGAGCGCCTTCCTGCTTGGTCTTCTCCGCAATGACAGTGATGACGAGGGTTCGGGAGGAGCAGGGAGGGAATCGGGGACGGGGACCGGGGCGGTTTCTTCGACTTGAGCTTGAGCCAGAGGTCGCCGTGTGCGCGTAGACTTGTTCGGGCTGACGCTTGCGGCCGGCTGGGCATCTTCTTCCACATCCACATTCGCATCGGCAACCGCATTGGCAGTCGCAGTCGCAGTTGAGGCTGACTTGCGGCCGCGTTTACGATCGCGCTTGCGATTCCGGTCCCGATCGCGTTCCCGCTCGCGATTGCGCGGCCTCGACGCGGTAACAGGCAACGGATAGACAGCCGGCAGCTCATCGTCGTGCGTCCCAGCCGTAGACCTCAGCCTCCGCACACTCTGCACCTCCGGGCTCTTCATCTTCGTCTGGACCGGCGTCTCAGCCTCATCCGTAGCGCGTGTCGACGCCCTCCGCCTCGGTCGAGGCGTGACGTCCTCAACTGGTGTTTCGGGCTCTGGATCGTGTTGTCGTGTTGAGACGCGTCGTCGTGGGCGGGGTGTGGTGGTGTTGGTGGTGTTAGAAGGACCGGCCTCGGGTTCATCGACATCATGCGTTTCCTGCCTCGTCGACCTCCGAGTCCTAACCCTCGGCCTCTCCACCTCATGCACCACCTCATGCACCTCCTCTTCCTCCTCGGGCTCAGGTTCAGGCTCCGGCGTCGGATCCTTCGGCCACCACACCAGCCCCTCAACCACCGGCTTCCCATCCGGCGCCATCTCCCTCTCCTCCTCCTTGACATCCACCCCCGTACCCGTCCTCGTCGTAATCCACGGCGTCCACCTCAGCTTTTCCGGATGAATCTTGAGGTAGCCTTTGGCCTCCCACTTCTCCAGGTGCTCCCTTACGACGGCCGGGTCCCAGACGATATCGTACCGTCTGGGCGGAACGAAAGGCGGTGTGGTCTGTGCTCCGTGATGCGCCGTCATACCCGATGTAGTTGACGTTGTAGGTGCTAAAGCACCATGAGCGGCCGTCGACGTATTAGTCTGGATGGCCGCCGCCGTGGTCGTGGTCGTAACCGTCGAAATCGGCAGAAGTTGTGGCATGGGAATGGGAGGAGGCGGTGTAGATACGGACGTAGAACCGAGTGCGGAAGTCGTCTGTGTACGGCGCATAGCCGTCGCACGGCGGCGTGATGTCGAAGGCGGATATCGCAAGCTTTGTCCGGGCAATAAGCGTGGTCGAGCGGGCTGTTCGGGTGCGGCGAAGGGTAGACGGATGAAGTCGAGCCTGGTAAGGGTGTTGTAGATGTCCTCGAGAGTCATACTCGTCGCGCGAGCGATATCTGCAAATGAACAAACAGTATCATCAGCATATGCGAATATAAAAGAGGGGATTTTGGAATGGAAAGGGCTGCGGGAGAGCGAATGCGGGAATGCCTCGTGGTGATGTGATGGGACGCGAGGAAGGCTCCGGCGAGGAAGGACGTCTGTCTTCTGTCTCCATCACCAAAACGTCCACGCACAGCCAGGCCGGACAGCGAGACGCGAACGCGGTCAGGTGAGTATGCGGCGCATACAAGCACGCCCGCGGCCGTTTCAAGACAGCCGGAAGGTTAAATCGAGCGGGAGCTTGTTCTCTGTTCTCACCTTCGAGTCGCGGCTTGGCGGGCGCGCGATCCAAATACCGCATAATCGCCAACGTCCAGTAATTCTTATACCCCAGCGCGCCGAGCGCCGACAGCGGCTTCTCCGGGCTGCCCAGTCTTCCTTCTCTCTGCGAGAGCAGATAGCCTGCGCACTTCGCATCAGCACAGTTTTCCAAGGCGATGAAGTGGGGAGAAGAAGGAAGAGGTACTCACTGAACTCGATCAACGCGTTCCCGAACCCGCGCCGCTGCCGCACCGGCAAACACATAATACAGCTCAGATTCCACTCGTTCCCGCTGCGCTTCTCCTTGCTGAAATACCCGACGAACTGCGCGCCCGGGTTGCCGACCCCCTTCCCGCCCTTCCCCCCTCCCC